AATTAAAAACCCCCCCCCCCCCCCCAGCTTTTATGATTACTCTAGTTGCCTTGACACTGCAACTGGTGCATTAAATGGTCTGAAAGGTTATCTAGCTTCCTCTGGAGCCTGTGTGCCAAAGCTTTCACCTGTGAAGCTCTCCTGTGCCCACTTCCAGCAGATTCAGCAGCTTCCCCTGCTTACAGAATCTACCTGGAATCACCTAAACCAGAAATGCTGTCAAACACAGTGATTTCCCCCTTTCCAAAAAACAGGAGCATCCTACTAGGATAAAATGCCCAGATACATCTTCCCCCTCCCTACATTTGTCTTCAACTCTGCGCAAACACCTTTTGTACACAACCCCTGCAAGTCACAGGCACTAAAAACCCAACGCAGCTCCTCAGCCAACTCAAAAGTAACCAAGGTCCTCAGCTAGGAAATAAGGCATTAGGCTCCCACATTGTTTTGAGAACAGATGAGGCCTTAAAAAACAAATAACAACCCATTATTTCCCTTCCTATGGCCACAATACAACCGACAAAATAATAACAACAGACTACTGTACCCACTCCGCCGTCGCACACGCAGACTGAGCAAGTCTTATCACTTGGACACAGCAGCCCCTCAGAGACAGGGCCTTTTAAACTGGGGAGCCCATATGTTAGGGCTATTTTCTTTATAAACTCCACCACCCCAGGAGGAATAAGCAGCTCTCTCTGCAGACATACACAGGGATAGTTCTCAGCCTGAAGGGCTTCCAGTCCCACCCGCAAACCCCATGCACGGCGAGGTGTTTGGATCCAGGCCTTAGAAAGACAAATATTTAGAGAGAAACGCTGTCGGAGGAGCCTCTAAAAGGGAGTCTTTAAAAGGGAAAGCCTGCTCGCCTTGCTGGTGGACCTAAAACAGCGATATAAATGAAAAAACCCCTCCATTCTCATCAGCTTTAACACCATTAATCTGCCTCCCTCGGCCCTGCTAAGGGGGGTCAGGTCCCAGCCCTGTGCTAAAAACCCTCCGGAGCGGGGCCTGCCCCCCCGCCACAGGCCCACGGCATCGCCCTTATTTATCTCTGAGGCAGCGGAGCTCCAACCAGGGCCATTTTATTTATTTTTTTTTTTTTTAAGAAGTAAAATCAATAAATTGAAGGGAAAAACAGCCCCCCTCTCCACCCCCGCAGCTGAGGGCCTGGCTGAGGCCGGGGGAGCCCCGCCAGGCCCGGGGAGCCACCCACCACCCCCCCAAGGCCCGGGCCCACCGTGAGGGGCCGAGGTTCGCCCCCGACCCCGGTGTCGTTGTCCC